ATTCACTGATAGTGAGAGAGAGAGAGAGAGAGGGAAAGAGAGAATGGGGAGATGGAGAGAGGGAGGGTCACACATATAGTACAAAATGCATAGTCACACATACAGAATGAAATACCGTTGCAAATACCTAGACTTGCCCAAACAAACGTAGAGCAATGGACGGGGGAGTGAGAGATAAGAGAGAGAACAGCGTTAAGAGGGGAGTTACAGAGAGGAAGGGAAAGTGAAAATGAGACGGAGGGTACCAGAGAGAGAGAGAGAGAGAGAGAGAGAGAGAGAGAGAGAGAGAGAGGAGAGAAGACAGGGATGATAGACCATCTAATTAACCATCAGTTTTATCTGAAATATGCAGTAACATATGGTTAGTTAGTTGCGTATCCTTTACAGGACGATGCAGAACCAACCCCAACAGCTCCTGGTTGTTATGTAGCTTTTCTAGGCAAATTTACGTCCAGTAGTTGCGGTAACATATAAAGATTTCAAAATTCAGAGTACATGTTTTTTTTAATCGGCGTCTGTGGCTTTGGCGTTGCTATCGCGCTTCATAATGTCGGGGTACCTGGTCGATCCCAGCTGCGGACGATTTGTCTTGCGTTGGTTTTGACAGTGGTACCGAGAGCTGACCGTTCAAGGAGCGATAGCAAACTACTGAACGTAAAGTTTGCCTAGAAAACCTATAACAGCCAACAAATGCTGGGGTTGGTTCTGCAACGGCCTGTAAAGAATACGCAACTATATCTATTCCTAACAACCTCCCACAAACAGCTTTACTGTTTTTATCAGCCTGCTTCGGTCAAGAATCGTACTGAAAGCAAGAAAAACAACCATGTCTTTACTTTCTAAGCTTCATCCTTGGACCTCCATACTCATAAACAAACGAACTGGCTACGGTGAATTGATTTCAAAAATATAAACAAGAATTATCCGAAATTATTTTGCGAAGCTTATTTTAAACGCTCACAGATCCTACCTAGACAAGAATAGCATGCGTTATCGAGTCGCCACGTGTACCATAAGTAATTGCTATTGATATTTCAGGCAACGCGGGTGGGTATTAACCACGGTTAAGTGATAAAACGTTATTCTGATTGTTTATGTTCTGGTATCTGGCTATTGCCAGAAAAGCAGTCCCGAAGACGCGGATCCGCCCCCATGCAACTGTATTCAACTGTTGTATTCATGAAAGAGCAAGTCGTTGTATGGTGTACCTTTGCGCTTTTGTTTCACTGGGTGGGGAAAACTGCCTTCGATTTCCTCCAACTTGTTTGTTAATATGTGACTAATATACAGAGGCGATGTTGTTAGACTGTAAATGTAAACAGTGACTGGAAAATGTCTCACTTTAAGAAGTCTGGTTGGGTTGTGTCTGTGTGTGTGTGTGTCTGTGTGTGTGTCTATCTGTGTGTGCGTGTGTGTGTCTGTATGTGTGCGTGTGATCATCGTGTCGCGGACCCAAAAACAAGTAGAAGACATCCTAAACGATCTAAGCATTTGGAGAGAATTGGCTCATAAAGAGCATCTTGTAACACAAGCTGAGGTATTGTGGCCATGTTAAACGTCGTGATGGCCTGGAGAAAACGGTGATGGAGGGTTCAGGCTTCGGAAAACGAGACAGTCCTAAATGAAGATGCCTTGGCTTTGAAAGGACATAGGGCTGGAGAACTGGCAAGAGAAAGAGACACTTGCAGGTGTGCCGTCGCGAGATTGACATTCTGTAAAGGACATGCAGATTCATGATGATTATTCCATAGACGGGGGGGGGGGGGATTTTTTTTTTTTTTTTTTTTTTTTTTTTTTTTTTTGAGCGCACCGATTCTGAAATTAAATATTACGTATGACATATCTTTAAGCTGTTTACAGACATCATTTTCTTTTGATGTTTTTCTATAATCAGCTTTCATCCACTTCCAGGGATTTTCAAGGCTGTAAAGTCTGTAAAATTCCCGTCTGCTCCAAAATGGAAATCCCTTTGATGTTTGTCTCTAGCGATGTACTTTTTTTTTTAAAATATAAGCAGTATCTTGCAGAGAGTAAGCACCATATTTAACATTGTGAATCTCAGTGGCAGGTACTAAGGTCTACATTGATGTCACGAAATCATAAACATGATTTTTCTGTAGAAAATAATAAGTTTAAAAGAACATCACAAAAAGAGGGGGATCACGGTTATTAACAGGGCAGTTTTCTAGCGGTACGCAGTACTGGCATCGTTTTAGGTATCTTTTTTTTTTCCAGCGCCACCTTAGTAACCACTGTTGTCAACACCGTCACCCTTAGTCACTTTGAACACCGGCACCTTTTCTTTTAGAAGATAAGACGTGTTTATAAGTAACGCCAGCCAAGCAGCAGGTTAAACATTGTCGATATTTTCCTTGTCCCTCTCAGAGCAAGGAAGGGAGGTAACGAGGGGAAACTTGAAAACGCACCAGCGGTGTGCAGAGATAGGAAGCGTCTGAAATTCAATGCAATCGGTGTTATGACTTCATTTTTTTTCTCCTTCACCTCCTCCTTTTTCTTCTTATTCTTTTTTCTTCTTCTTTTTCAGTCCTCTTATGCAGCTTCAGCTTCTTCTTTTTCTTCTTCCTTCTCATCCTCCTCCTCTTCTTCTTCTTCTGCTGCTGTTTTTCTTCTTCTTCTTCTTTCTCATTCTCCTCTTCTTTTTCTTCTGCTGCTGTTGTCAGTCTTCTTCTTCTTCTTCTTCTTCTTCTTCTTCTTCTTCTTCTTCTTCTTCTTCTTCTTCCTTCTCATCCTCCCCCTCTTCTTCTTCTTCTGTTGCTGTTTTCATTCTTCTTCTTCTTCTTCTTCTTCTTCTTCTTCTTCTTCTTCTTCTTCTTCTTCTTCTTCTTCTTCTTCTTCTTCTTATTCTGGTCCTTTATTATCATCATCGTTATCATCACCAATATCACTATCATTATTATTATCATAATCTTCATCATCGCCGTCATCATCATCATCGTTTTACCTTTCAACTTTCACTGAGTCTAGGTCCTCACTCAACTCACAGAAAGTCATGTGTATACGACTCTGGATTTTGCAGCAATTTGTCTAGGGATCGGGTAGTCAGCCTCACGCCAATCCTTCTTGGTTATTTATGACTGACTGACTGACTTTCTACCCCACTAGGACATCACACAAGCGATAAACACCCGATGACACAAAGTGCCACCATGCGGATGAGGATCACCGTGGAGAGGTCCCAGAAACCGCGTTCAGACAATTGGCCATATTGATGGCCTGCCTATTTTGCGGCCCCTGGCAAAAGCCAGAGTGGGGCTTCAAATTAGAAAAAAATACGTCCTGAAAAGGACGTAAGTAGTCATAATGGTTATTTCCTATGGCATGCATGGAAAGCTGTGTTTAGCCAGTAGGCTATAATGGTTATTAAATTTGTAGAATAACATTATATCCTTGTCGCTACAGCACGGCTTTCCATGCAGAGCTACCTGGGTTCAGGTTCCACTTCAGAATAAACTTTTAACCAACTTTGTTGTGCTTTAATAAGTCATCATCATCAGCTTCCAATCTGTCGTTAAGCGTTGTGGGGAGGAAAAATTTGCGATCAATTGCTTGATGGGCTTAAATATGTAAAATACGAGAAGATTCTTGACATTATTTTTGTCCTGGTATGGAAGGGGTGTCAGCACATCAGCTGATAAATGATGTTAGAAATCGCAGGTTGTGGAGATGCATGATAGCCCACGATAGTCAGAAAGGCACTTGAGGATGATGATGATGACCAACTTACTTACTGTACTAAGCACTGGCAGATTTAACTGTCAGTGGAGACCATAGGTTGGATATTATGTCAGTATCAAGAAATCGGGTTAGTTCCCTTGTTATTTATACACTGCAACATTCAGGGAAATGGAAGAACAGACTAGTAGCCTTTCCACTAGAAAGAAGTAGAAAGGTAGAAGAGCACACCAGACAACATAAAAATCGAAAGCTATAGTTACCGTGCCATGTATCGAACCTGTCACCTCGAGACGGCGAGTGCGCCTCGCTATTATTTATGAAAGTACATGAGGCGAAAGAGCTGGCGAGAGAAAGAGTTTCACTCAGGCAGGCCGTGATAAGAGCGACGTTCTGCAAAGGACCTGCTACATGATGATGGTTTTCATGGGCAAATGTTAACATTTAGTAGTTTGCCATTTAAGCACAGTTATACTGGGGCACTACAAAACGTTTACACGTTAATCTGCAGTACATGGCGGGTAGGTGTAGAGGGACGATCCTTTACATTAAAACAAAAAAGCGTTTCCTCTCCACAATTGCAGTCTGTTGTACCATAGCATTAACATCTCAACCTTGTAACCATACTGGAGCCACCGTGGTATAGTGGCATGACGCTCGCCTACGGATCGAGAGGTTGTGTGTTCAGATCCTGAGGGAGCCGGACTTTTTTTTAATGACCTAGACCGAGACTCCCAGGTCGACTCAGCCTTAAATTCGCAGCAGGTTCAAGTTCTATGAAGTTAAGGCAGCCGAAGCTATGCTGACCAGGGCTGCCAATTATGGGTTTTTACCCCTCGATCTGGGTTTTTATTTGACGTCTTGGGTTCACATTTTGTAATTTGGGTTTTTGGTTTTTGGTTTTTTAAATGTCCTTAAATAAAAGTAGGTAAATGTTCCGCTTCGTAACTATAAAATGTGAACTTCTTAACAATCTGGGTTTTTTTTTCTTTGCCTATGCATTGCTTGGGTTTTTGTTCAGCTAAGCTGGGTTTTTAAAAAAAATCACATTGGCAGCTCTGATGCTGACCACATCACCCACATAGTTTAAATTGGTCTATAGAATATAGCTCTAGGCATATATGCCAAATACGCATGAAAACGTGGAGAAGGTTCATTTATTTTACTATATAGCTCAGTTATATTGCAGCACCTCAAATACATTTGCGAAATAGCATTCAGTCCAGTGTGCGTGGGTCTTTCGTTTAATTCCAGATTGAATTCGTAATTACGTTTCAGCGTAGCTTTACTTCAAGGATACAACAAAGATGGCAGACGTGGCAGCGCAGCGGGAAGCAAGACGTCGAAAAATCATCCAGAGTTCGGAAGCTCGAATGAACAAATTGCTTGGGCTTACAAAAAGTAAATAGAAATACAGACATAAACGTCCTTTGTCATCTTTCTCAGTACTTCTTTATTCATTTATTATGTGTTTAGTAGTCTCCTTGTTCGGTTTCATTTTTGAAAATCTTCCGTTTTTAATTTTTCTTTAGAATTTATGTTCTGCAAACTGTTCTCACTAAATCGCAGTAGTTACTTTATGTCTCGAAGTTAATTTCATAATATATCCTCCCCGAATGCTTCTGAGGCCCCATACTGTAGGGAGAGGGGGTAGACAGGTGACCCAAATAAGCATAACGTAGCTACTTCAGTAAAATTTTTAAAATGCTCTCTGCACCAATAAAACCAGCACAGTTAGATAGCTGTAAACAATCTCTTTCCAATGGTACCTCATTTAGGCCTCATATGTAGGTTTCTGTGGAGATGAGATGTAAGAAACAGCCGCTAAAACTTGTGACCCAGAAACAAGAAGTTTTTTGACTGCGCAACCTACTGCGCAGTTCTGTATCGGCTTTGTTTACATTGGACTGTCATTGGACAAGATGGCAGGCAATGAGACTCAGCCACTGGCTGAGCCAGCGATTGCCTGAAAAATGTCACTGTACATCTACCTAGCCACCGTCCAGAAAGAAATTTCATACACAAATGTAAAATTGGACGGAGAATTCAAATATACCCAGCAATACCAGGACGAGTAACAGTTAAAGCCTAAAGCCAACCTCGAATTTACCGCTATTTTCAATCAAACTGATGACTAACAGAAAAACAGAGGACGTCCGGCTGTCGTAGACATGCGCTGTTAATCGGGTTCCCACACGCTGTTTTCAGCTATTTATAGCTGGTCCAAATTCCCACCAATGGCAAAATTTCATGAGAGATTTGGACCCATACGGAAACCAGCCGAGATTTCCCGAACAAGTTCTGAACGGTTTCCGGGTAACGGATATTGCCGAAAAGACCGCAAATTGTCGAAACTGTAGTCCCTATGTAAACTGCGTCACAACCTGATCATCAAACACCCCTACTTACTTTCAAGTAATTTAAGGATGAACGCATAAGAAAAAGACGAATAGCATTTCCTTACATTTTTTTTAACAATCACATTGAAGGACCACTGATAATAAATAATGTACAGTCTTTCTGTATGGTGCTAAAAGTACTAGAACGAGCTGAACCAGAAGGTGATATAACTTGCCTCTCAAAGGAGTAGACATGCTATTACTAGTGTATCCCCCCGTGTGGGTTCCGAGGCCCCATTGTGCTGATATAGACCCACTGCCTCCCCAAAAGCATGTCGTAAGAGTCAACTAATAATTGGGGAGCTTCCTTTGAAGTCGGAGTGCATCTGCCGGAGAGGCAAGGAACCAGCAGTCTGTATTCAAGAGAATGAGATCTGTAAAACTGATGCACACGCAACACTCAGGTTCTGGAGCAGGACTGCAGTTCAGTAGTGGACGAGCAACCAGAACTTTCCGCCAGAGCGTACAGCTGGTAAACGCGAAGAAGAAGACTAGTGTATCCACGCTGTCTACTTCTCTTGCTCTTTATCCCCTAGTGGAGCCTAGCCCCTCACACCCAGTTGTCCTATCCTTTGCAGTTTAGTGCATCACAATCTCTGGGCTCTCCTTGCAACTACGGCCACATATTGGGGGAGTACGCCGGAGTTCAGTCCCCTGGCCACATTGCAATTAAGGAGTGAAAAAGAGGGAACGAAACAAATGACGTAATTAGTGTGTGTTGGCGATAGACAATGTGAGCTATAGACAGCGTGCAGTGCACTGCTGTCATCATAGGGTTAGGGTTATGGTAACACATGTAACGTCGAGTACTTACCCATAATGACGTTGTGTGATTCGTTCCTTCTCCATTCCGTAATTGCAATGGGGCCAGGGGACTGAACTCCGTCGTACTCCCCCAATATGTGGCCGTAGTTGCAAGGAGAACCCAATCCCTGTCCGCCACATTTTTTTTTAAAATTCTAGTTCCATTCTTTATGTGTTTTTTGTCTGCTATTATTCCTTTACCACTGTCGGTTCCAGTGCAAGGTTATTCTAGTTATATTGTTGTCAGGAGGATTTTTATTCCTCTAGAAGAAAAAAAAAGATGCCGGTATGCACCAAAAGTGTCTGTTACTATAGAGCTGAGAAAAGGGATGATTTGAGAAAGGTGCCAATATCGCATACCATTGCGCACTTCAGAAGAAAAAAAGTAGACTCGTTAAATTTTCTCAGTTTTGTTAATTTCATTGCCATCTTTTGAACTCATATCCACTTGATATTGAAAAAAAAATCACATTCACCAAACAGGTCTACCCAGCCTATTTTCCAGATCCCCAGCTTCTAAAGATAACTTGTGGCCAACGCTTTTTTTCTTCCCTAGAGAAAAGTTGCTGGTACTCACCACAAAGTGTTTTTAAAAGGTGTCAGTATTCAGAACAGAGCACCGGCTATCCTCCGAATAACGGTCCCAAATTATGGAGACCGAAAATATACCGTGACAGGGCCTCAGTCACATGTAAATTGCGAACCTCTTCCATCGACTACACAGCATACCGTGAAAAAACTTCCGCCGAGTTAAAGTCACTGCCGAGTCACTGTAGTCACCGGAAGAGGTCCGCAATTTACCTGTGACTGAGGCCCTGTTAGGGTATTTTTTTCAGGGTTCCTCGCCTCTGATACAGGTGCACTCTAACAAAGTGAAATACCCCTAATTAGTTGACTTTTCAGACATGTTTGTTGGGGTGGGGGTGGTGGGTCTGTCATCTAACCCCCCCCCCCCCCCCCTCCCCCCCACACCCCACCCCCCAACAATGGGACCACATAATCCACACGGGGATATAATGTATACTAATATATTAGTTCAGTAGAGTGACTAGGGTCTTTTACTTTTGTACTAATTGATACCATACAATGTTTGCTACTTTTCTTCAAAGTACATTTGTGTGCTTTTGTTTCAGAACAAAGTAATGAGTCAACATCACAGAGCGAGTTGGTTGAATCACCTTTATCTTCACAAAACTCACTCCCTCACAGCGACCAGAATGAAGAACAACCCAAAAGTCTACATCTCCACTCATCCAACTCAACTGCTTCTGCATCCTTGACTTCTAGAAACATCTCCTCTTCTCTGACCTCACCACCGTCGACAGATAGAAGCTCAAACAGACCAGATTATTTAATTTCTGGGCAAGATTCTGCCACTAATTCCATCTCTGGTGTTACTAGGAACATTGATCCAGCACTGCAGACACCTTTCAAAAGGTCTGAACTTGAGGCAAGAAAGACAGATAAATTATTGAAGGATGCTCAAGGATTTAATGCACAGAAGTTTGAATTTGTGAAAATCTTTACATTTATTATTATTGCCTTTCTGCAACGTTGTGTTTTGAAGTGGGGCCTGGGTCTTTTTGTGGTGCCAGTGAGTATCTTTTTAGCATGTTAGAAACAAATTGATCCATGTACATAAATTGCAGAACATATTTTTAAGTAGCAAATTTTAAGAGTATGCATCTTTCCTATAGCAGCATACAGATGTAAGTCGTGGACTATCTGGCAGTCATAGAGGAAGAAGCATTTTAGTTGAAATACTGTAGACAGATTCCTAGAATGCCAGGGACCTAGAAAAAAAAGAATATTGGCATCTCAGAAGATCTAAATGTAAAGGAAATGGCTCATAAACATCATCTTGTTCTAGGAACTGAAATATTTTGTCCATGTTATGGTGGATTGGAAAGAACAGTAGCAGAGGGCATGTTAGAGGGGCAGGGATTGACCAGCATGATGATGGGCACACGACAGAAGAGAAACCTTGGGCAGGAAAGTATAGGAGAGTTGGTGAGAAATGTATTTTCAGGCATGCTGTTATTGGAGTGATGTTCAATAAACAACCTGCTACATGATGATGATGATGATCTAAATAACATATTTTCCAAAGAGGACATTTAATGGCAGCAAGGTCAGCTTTATTGCACTGAGTTTTATCTGATATTCCAAGAAAAGAGATCAGTTGAAATGAGGAGTAGAACTAGTCAGCTTGACATCATCATATTCATGAATGACAAATGGATGTGGCTAGAAACCCTTTGTCAGCATTAGTCACACTGATACAGTGACAGATAAGAATACACCGACAAAGTCACTTATCTGTAAGTTTAGTTCTCATATAAAATCCATATGTCTGGGCGGCTGAAACTCTGGAGTCATGTGGATGCAGAAATAGGGTATACAGGAAGAGAGATAGGATTGGTCAGTTAGAGCAAGGACTAACTCCACCATTTTTAGCTAAAGCTGTGTTAAATGTTAAGGCCTTTAGGTAAGTGAGTCAGAGAGCCCATTAGATGGATAAGATGCTTTATGTGATATTGTTTTAACTCTCTGCAGAGCTGCTGTTCATCCACTTAAAGCATTGCACAGAACTCTGTACCTCCACTAATTAACCGATCAGGGATCATTCAACCACTTGCAGCGCTCACTATTAAGTTTAAACTCTTGTCTCCATATGAGAGACCAACACTATAACCATTCATTGAATGAATAAGAATTGACATCACTGCACATTGGACGTTTCCACACCTTTCATCTTCTTTAGTGGCCAGTGAAGAGTCAACATGCTAAAAGTACCAGTTGCAACCTGATTGAAGTCCGCCTCTGTTTCACCTTCAGTGTTAAATATCTTCCAAAACCTCTACTCACACTTCAGCTCCCTCCCCCCCCCCCCCCCCCCCCACTTGAATTAGTTTTTCAGTAAAGGGATTCTCTGTTCTGTTGCACTGTGTTTGATCCTAGAGAACCTTCACTGCAGCTGCTTTTTAATAAAGTAGCTCAGTCCCTAGAGGAGCAGCAGCAGCCAGTCACTCTGTTTATTACCCTAAACCAGTGGTCGGCACACTGTTTAGTCAGCAGCAGGACGAATAGAATTTCTTTTGAAAGCCAAATTTCTTTAGTTCAAATACCTTGGAGTTGTATTAGACCGAGCTGGCTACACAAAAAGCAGATGCTAGGAGACTCTTCCAGGCCATAAACGGAGGATTTCTTAACAAAAGAGAAATTGACAAGAGGACAAAAATGGCTGTTTACCGCTCTACCCATGTACCAGTCCTGACCTACGGATGTGAGTCATGGGCAATGACAACAGCTCACAGAAGTCAGCTTCAGGTCTCAGAAATGAGATATCTGAGAAATGTGATCCAAGTGACAAGAAGGGACAAAGTCCGCAGTCAGACAGTACATCAAGATCTTGATGCCCAGTCCTTACAAACCTGAGTGGATCAGTCACAGTTATGATGGTTTGGACATGTATGCAGAATAGGAGAAAATTGGCCACCTTGGCAGGCATGAGAGGCTAAGAACCAGGGAACCAGACCTCCGACAGTCCCTAACTGACAGAGGACTGGAATGGAACAAAGCCAGAAAAAAACTGCTGATAGAGACGTCTGGAGATCTCTCTGGCAAACCTCTACACCCCAAAGTTGAAGAGGGACGACTAAGTAAGTAAGCCAAATTTCTTTTCAAGAACCATATTTTTCTGAGTTAAAACCGACTTATGGCCTGCTGGTCAAGCTGCACTCAGGTCGCTAAAGAGCCTCATACGGCTTGCGAGCCGCCCTTTGCGGACCAATATCCTACACACCCAAATTATGATATGCTACTGATGTGAATATTATTACGTGAAACAAGCCACTTTATCAATTCCCTTCCACTCAGTGCTGTATTAGCCTGATTATTCTTACAGTATAAACTAGTTGTTTAAATGTTTTCTTCTATTGCCAGAGCATATTTGTGCCATTTGTGGTCCTGGAGATAACATTTGAGTATGTGGTCTACAATTTCCTGCAGGTAAATACATTTCATATGCCTGTCCAGTCATCTTGTCTAGATGATCAGTTATTGTCTATTGAATTCCATTTATGTTCTTCTTCTTGACATTCACCGGCTGTAAACTGCAGCAGAAAGTGCTACCTTCTACACACACACTACACTACCTCATACACAGTGCTACCTTCTACACACACACTACACTACCTCATACACAGTGCTACCTTCTACACACACACTACACTACCTTACACACAGTGCTGCCTTCTACACGCACACTACACTACCTCATACACAGTGCTACCTTCTACACACACACAACACTACCTTACACACAGTGCTACCTTCCTCACACTACACTACCTCACACACAGTGCTACCTTCCTCACACTACACTACCTCATACACAGTGCTACCTTCTACACACACACTACACTACCTCATACACAGTGCTACCTTCTACACACACACTACACTACCTCACACACAGTGCTACCTTCCTCACACTACACTACCTCATACACAGTGCTACCTTCTACACACACACTACACTACCTCACACACAGTGCTACCTTCTACACACACACTACACTACCTCATACACAGTGCTACCTTCTACACACACACTACACTACCTTACAGACAGTGCTGCCTTCTACACACACACTACACTACCTCATACACAGTGCTACCTTCTACACACACACTACACTACCTTACACACAGTGCTACCTTCCTCACACTACACTACCTCACACACAGTGCTACCTTCCTCACACTACACTACCTCATACACAGTGCTACCTTCTACACACACACTACACTACCTCACACACAGTGCTGCCTTCTACACACACACTACACTACCTCATACACAGTGCTACCTTCTACACACACACTACACTACCTTACACACAGTGCTGCCTACCACACACTACACTACCTCACACACAGTGCTACCTTTCTCACACTACACTACCTCATACACAGTGCTACCTTCTACACACACACTACACTACCTTACACACAGTGCTGCCTTCTACACACACTACACTACCTTACACACAGTGCTACCCACCACACACACTACACTACCTTACACACACTGTGCTGCCTACCACACACACTACACTACCTTACACACAGTGCTGCCTACCACACACACTACACTACCTTACACACAGTGCTGCCTACCATACACACACACTACACTACCTAACACACAATGCTGCCTCTCTCACACACACACACACACACACACACTACACTAGCTCACATACTACACTACCATACACACAATGCTACCTCACACACTTCACTACCACATAAATTACGCTACCATAACACCACACACACACACATAAAAGTTCCCAATATGTGAAGATCCATCACTTCTCTTTATATTTCACTATTTTCTGTATTACAGCACATTGTACTGTTCCAGTCTAAAGGCAACCTGATGTCTGCAGCCCTAATGTTGTGTGGCATGAAACAGGAGCTAACAGAGACCTACAACAATATAATGGCACGCATCACTATATGGCTTAGTGATTTCTGCCTGTACTTTTTTGCTTTCATATTTTGGGATCTGTTAATTGCATCATAATGTTGTTGACCTTACTGCAGCTGATTTTGTTTATTGTATTATAAGGCAGTGGGTGTATTCTACAAATTCAAAGCATGGAATCACAAGGGAAGGAAGATGAAAAGATAAGAGGTTTGTTTGTGTAGTGTGGTTGAAAATCTAAGTTCATTAACTCTCTCTGTGTAATTAAGATAATATCAGTTGCAGCTGAATGGAAAATTATAACTGGAATGTCTTTGCACTGGCACCCACAGAGTCAAAGGAATAAAGGCAGATGAAAAAAGAAAAAATGTGTGGAGAATATAGAGAGTAAATTGAAAAAAAGATAAGGACATGGGGTTATCTGCATTTGAAGGCCAATCCTTTATAGGGGATAAAGGGCAAAAGACAAAAATGCAGCGTAAAACAATGAAAGGTCCCTCTCCAACCTGTGGGCATATGATGCTAGCCCTTTATTTTTAGAGACTAATTGGCACTTGTTGGGTGATGCAAATCGTCACTGCTCGTGGTTTCTTACGAGGATATTTTCAGCTACTTATCAGACTTGGAAACCTAAAATGATTGAAGTTGAGAGAGGCCCTTTTCTTCACTTTTACCAGCTGTAAATGCAGGCAGAAAGCTCTGGTTGTTCACGGACCTCTGGAATTTGATCTTGTACTAGAACTTTGGGTTTTGCATGCATATCCATTTTACATATCCATTTTTTGTATGCAGACTGTTGATTCCCTGCCTTTCAGTCAGATGCATTCTGATGGAAACATCCCTAATTAGTCACATCTTATGACATGCTTGTCAGGAAGGCAGTGAGCCTGTTGGAAGAAGGAGGAGGTCTGCTGGGTGTGAACACATGTTGCTTTGTAGCTCTTCCAGCAGAAGACAGTCTTGCATACTATTCTGGAGTCTGTTTAACACACAGATACCGACAGAGAACTGTTTGCCTCATACCTGATTTATAGATCACTGAGGAAGAAGAATAGACAGATATGTTTTAGGAAGGGCACCTTATTTTGCTGTAAATATGTCAAGTCAAACATAGCCTGGGCTAGGGGACCAGTGTGTTTACAATAATTTTTTGTATTTTTACATATTTTTTTTTTTCAGTTTTAAAATATTGAATACAGTGTGTGATGCTTTAGAAAATTTGTGGAAGCAGGAAAATGGCAAAGAGGATTTATACTGAAGAGTTGAAATAAGAGTGACATTTTGCAATGGACCTGTTGACCGATGGTGATAGTGGTAACGTTTCTATTCACAATGGAAAATTAAGCAAAATCATAACCAGAAAGATTATAGATAATATAATTTAGACTTTGTTAACTTAGGATAAAACTATTTCAGAAACAATGACGATGTAAAGATATAGCTTTTAAAATTGAGCAGTTGAGAGAGACAGAGGTCACATTTAAGTGTTACCATTGAAGAAATTGTAAAGCATTATTACTTTTATTTAAAACCAAAATCTGTATTTATGCATGATGTTCTTTTGTGTTTGCTTCTTAAAAGGGTGGTGGACACTTTGTTTTGTGGTTTACAGCTATGATTTAATGTGTGGGCCTTCAGATGAACACACTCAATTTTAGCAAACCCCCTAATTAATGGCCAACAGGTCTGTTTTTATCTCCCCCTCCAAATAGGACACGGAACCCACATGGAGTGAGACTGTCTGTTTACTCCTTTCTCATGCATTGTATAAGCTGGTTTTCATTTTATCTAAGGCTCTTCTTGATAAACAAAAATGACCTTGGCTCCCAGGCCGACCCAGCCTTGAATGGGTACTAGGTGCAGTCCCGGGAAAGTAAAGGCGGCCGGCGTGATGCTGACCATATCACCCATCTTGTGCTGATTGGTCTATAAAAATATAGGTCTAGCCCTATATGCCCTATAGGCCTAAAGGCGTGGAAAAGAGTCCTTTACTTACTAAATCTTTGTCTAATTAATAAAACTACTGATAAATGGTGTTTATAAGTCCGTACCAAACTCAGTACATATTTACCTGTTTCTTTACTTATTTGTAGTTGTTGTGTATGATAAACTATCTATAATACAGAAACATGGAAAGTCGAAATAAAGAAGAATAGGTCTTATTTCATCAAGTAATAAAATACAGAGGCTCTGAGGAGACTAGATCTGAACCCATGATCTTGAAACTACACCATGCGGCTCCCGGATACAGGCGTAAAGATAGTGTTTATAGACCAGAGGTTAGACATTTTGCAGTGGTACAGTGTAATATGTGCATAAACAGGTATGACTAGACAACTTTTCTCTAGACCATGGTCTGCCTTTCAGCATTAGGTCTGAAGGGGTATCTGGTGTGATTCTTTGAGTATTTTGAATATATGCTGGTGTTTATAGCTTTAAATTGTGACAACAGAGATCATACGTCTTAAAAGAGCTGCAGTTGTTTCAAGGACATAATACGAAATCAGACGAATGCTAGAAATAAAACCAGTCTTGCAGGTCATCAAAGAACAATAAATGAAGTGGTTTGGACACCTAACAAGAATGCACTGATACTATCTACCACTGCGAGCCAAACTGAAACGTTACAACGGGTACAGACCGAGGGGAAGACTTCGGAAAGATAGATTGATGGCATAAAGAACAGCCTTATAGAAATTAACATCAATCTTGATAGCGCTTTTGACAGAGTTCATCTACAAACATTACATCTCCCCCAGACACTTCATTGAATTACAAGGTGAAGAGAAAAGGTTTATGGCTTTGGATATTTCATCTATTTGTCGCTTGCCAGGGTGACCCCTAGCCATGCTTCCGTTGTGTCTAAAAGACAATCTCTTTGTAGTGCACTAACTCGTGGCAGTCCATAATACATGTCCGAATTATTTCTTTTGTAGTCTAGCACTGGATCCGGTTCTGTCCCAGATTTTTCCTTGATATGGTCATTTCTGATCCTGCCTCATTGTTACATTTAGGATACAATGGTCAATAAGGAACCAGAGCCTTTACTGGCTGAGGTAACATTAGCAATACACATTCTGAAGAAAGGAAAGTCGCCAGGTTGCGTACGGAAATACGAGCACGGTCCTGACAGTTACAGCTTAGATTACAGAGAATCTCTCCTTAATGGGCGCCACGAACTAATGACATTGGATGCAGCAGAACATCAGACACTGGGCACGGCAGAATACCTGCCAGTGATCTTGTTATCAGATTATAATGTCCAGAAAAAATGTTCAGTCACATTCACAGTTCACAGTCAAGACGTAGATTGTCGGACGCGATTGTACATTAACAAACTGAATCAGTAACAGTGTTTTAAATTATCTACTTTTAATAATTTAGTTTAATACTTGATGCCATGGCTAGCACTAGTAAGTGGAAATGAGAAAAGCGTGCATTCAGCAGTGACTGGACACTGAAATATTTATTTATATCACCAACTCTGCCTAATTCAAAACCAGTATGCTTGCCATTGTATTTCTTCAACACTGGACTCGGCAACCTTAACCGATCGAATGATATAAATATTTTGAAAAGCTTCAGAAGAATTCAAACAACAGATTTGACGACTTCAATATCACAAACAATTTAATGTTATTTGTTCGGGATCCTTTTAAAATCCCTCATGCGTGTGATTTTTGTTCCAGTGCTGAGAAGTTGATATCCTCTGTTGATGAAGGTTCTCTGCAGTTAGAACTTGTGGATATGCAAAGTTCCAGATCAGTGAATGAATATTTTCAAGAAAGTGATACAGTGAATCAAGCTTCTCACACATTAATATCTTCAAGTCAAGCAGCCAAAACTCACTGAGCAACGATAGGCTGCAAGACTGCATGAGAATTGCTCTAACTTCTGACCAGCCAAATTTGGCAAAAAATAGCTCAAAAACTCAAATGCAGCATTTTCCGTTAATTACATTTTGCATCGTTATAGTCGACTAATTAGGGTATTCTGCCTGAGAGCCAAGGAACCTAGAAGTCCTGCGATATATGTGCTAGAACGATCAAAAAAGGGGTAAATCCTACAGCCCCCGTTCAGCCAGGGCTCACCGCATACAGACCATTTGAACAGGTAGCCATGGACATAATAGGTCCACTACCTGTCACGTCTGCAAAAGGTAATAGGTGCATACTCACCTTGATCGATGTGGCAACAAAATGGCCGGAAGCAGTCCCTCTTAAGTATATTACTGCAGAGCACATACATGAGGCATTAATATTAATTTTTTCAAGGTTGGGGTTTCCTGAGGTTATAATATCAGATCGAGGTACCCAGTTTACTGCAGTGATAACAAGAGCAGTAACAAATCTGTTAGGCATCAAGCAACAGTTCACCACTCCATACCACGCCCAAGCGAATGGGTTAGTGGAAAATTTGAACAAGTCGGTAAAGACTATGTTATCAAGGATAACATATAACAACCCCATAAACTGGGACAGTCTATTACCGGGGTTGCTATTTGCCTATAGGGAAATACCACACAGTTCAACCGGTGTGTCACCATTCCAGCTCGTGTATGGAGCCAACCCTAGAGGCCCTCTAGAAGTATACAAAAGCATAATTACTGGAAAAGATGAAAAAGACCCCAAAATTCATGATTATCAAGCTGTTGTTAATTTAAGACATAAAATTATGACTGCATGCGAAGAGGCGACAAAGGCCAGTGCCCAGGCAACCGTAAAACAGAGATATTATGCCAACAGAGTGAGCAAGCTCATTGAACTAGAACCGAACGATGATGTTCTGGTGCTATTACCCAAAAAATCCGACAAACTGTGTGTCGAATGGCAAGGGCCATATAAGGTAGTTAAAAAAATGTCTAATGTAGATTTCAAAATACAGTACAAAAACATGTTGAAAAAGTATTTTAAAAGATCTGAGATTGCAAATGCAAACTCATGTAATGTGATTAATGAAACAGCAACAGATGCAGTGGAGGAAGAAATTCCAACACCGTCCATATCAGATGGGATCAACTGGAAGTCAGTTAAAATAAATGAAAGCCTTGCACAAAAAGATAAGGGCAGTATATTAAAAGTGATCTGTAAGTACAAAGA